CTTATTTTTAAGTATGTAATTTGAATGTGCACATTGCACTTTTCCTCTCTTTCTTGAATATTTTTTTTTTGTTGCCTCTATACACATACATATTAAAATCGGTTATTTAATCTGTTTAACCTTTTTTTAAGTTGAACTTTTCTTTATATAAGCCAGCTGCTTAAAAATAATACTTATACGTGCATATATATGCCGTGTTTATGTGAAAAAAAAACTGTACAATAAATATTCTTCGTATCTTGAAGGAAGATAATGAAAGATTGATTATAAAATGATAAACATGTGTGAGATACTGCTAATAGAGTTACTTGAAATAAAAATAGAATATTTTAATTAGCAAGCTTAAAAGTTTAATCATAAAAGACGTCCTTTAGCGTTAGTTATGACACAATGATTTGACGAGAAATAATTAACTGTTCATTTATTAGTGAATAAAAAATATGGAGTATTATCAAGTTTGTGAAACATAAACATATAATGATGGTCTTCTATCAACAATCATTATTAGTCAATACATCAGTTTAGCTAAAGTATTTCAACTGTAAACTAACTCTTATTTAGAAAGATATAAAGTGTTTATTTCAACAGAAATGTATTGAATAAGAAGACTAATTGTGCGCAAAGAGGACCAATGAAGTTGTGTATGTGTGTGTATGTGTGTGTGTGTGTCTTGTTAAATAAGCTTTCAGCAGTATGGTATATTAGTGTTTTTAAATTATTTACGATCGTTACTGTCATCAAATAGTAGAGAAGGCTAACGCTTGAGTGGCTTTTAATATCAAATTGAAACTATTATAACTGAAATTAGATACAGTATATTTTCCAACTTGATGTCTATTGTACATAAATTTGACAAGTCGAGTTTCTATTGGAAATCAACCACAACTTTTTACGATCGATTTAATACCTTTTTGCTTTTCACTTTTTCTTTCTATTTTTTTATGTAATGTGTGTCACTGAGTCTATATAAAATCTCGCACAAAAAGTTATTATACCACAGCATTTTTTTGCTAACAATAAGACAATGGTCTTTTGTTAAATGTATGTAAGACCCTACAAATCATTTCAAATTAAGAAGAGTAGACAGAATAGGTATAGACAGGCTGTTGGCACAATAAATAATCGCTTCATTTACGTTGCTGTTTGTTTTGCATTAACATTGAGTATGTTAATATGATGAAATATGTAGTAATCAATGAAGTTTGTATTTATATACTACACACTTATTGTCAATTAAGTATTAAAAAAAATATGTGCTTTTCATTTTTTGCATTACTTTTTTGATCTTTTTTACCAAGAATTTTCGATACATTTTTATGTCAGAAAAAAGAAATTGGCTTCCTACATTTTGAGAAGTTCAATAAAGATATTGAAGAAAAGCTTATTTAGAAGCTAATATTAATAAAAATAATATGTTTTACTGTATATCTTGTTGATCTTGGGATAATTACTCTAACGAATGAGAAAGTAAAGCTAATGTTTGACATTTTTTCTTCTATACATTTTTTTTCTTCTTCGAATTTATATTGTTTGACGTGTATATAAAAATGATGAGAGAAATTTAATCGATAGCAAGTAGATAAAGATAAAAAGAATAAGAAAATAATCCTGTATATTGTATTAAACGATATTGCTTTATGATGGTGATGATTGATAATAAGAGACTCCACTATAGTTTGATCTAATTACAGTTGTTTTGTTTCAAAATGCAACCTTGTATACGATAATGATTAAGCAAGAATAATAATAATGACGATGAGTTAGAATGAGAGGAGAAGAAAGAACAAAAAAAAGGCGAAAAGATTTGTAGTTGGTCACGGATGGGCAAATCTATAACCAATGTTTACAACGATTTGAAGGTGTCTACATGATGTGTATGTCATTAAATATCAGATTTTTCTTTGCACCTCTTTCCTTCAATTTTTCTGTAAAGGTAAAACACGAATGTATAAACATCTATCTACATCATGAATATGATCTATTCTCTTTTTCTTATTAAAAGCATTAAACCAATTTAGTACATCTTCTCTTTTTTCTCGATATGATCTATTTTCTATCGTTGTATTTATTTTTGTTCCTCTTTTCTTTTATGTTTTTAAATTAGGATTTTCTTTTATTTACGCAAGAAAAAGAAACAGAGAAAAGAACGTTTTTATGACTATGACCGAGCATGAACTTGTTGAAGTTGTTAGATGTTCAATCATCGCAATAAAATGAGACAATAAGATATTAAAATGAATGGATGAGAGACGCATTGACATTAATAATGAACAATTAGAAATATTTATTCATACTAACAAAGAAAACTATAGAACTCGTTACATGTGTACTTGAGATAACTTTAATCGATAAAAATATTAACTTACTCACACTTAAGAGTAAGAGAACTTGGATATGATAGAATTACAAAAAAACTGTATACATCGGTATGTGTGTTTCTAGCATATGTACAGATTCATAATCAAATTTGAGAAAGTGTTGTTTACAAAACTTTTGTGAATATATAGAGAGCATTAAATTAAATTTGATACATAACACATAAGATGCGTAATGAATAGTACCACTATGATTTTTAACTTCGAACTTTTGAAAACAATTAATAGATTCCTTTTTCTAACCATCAATCAGATCTAACATAAAGAAAATGGGTTAACTCCTGACTTTCAAGATCAAACATTCCGATAATTTAGATCTTTCTAACTTTAGTTGAGAATCAAACTATTTTCGTAATTTTGTAGCTGAATGAACAATGTTATATAAACATAGTTTTTTCTTCTTCTATTGCTTTGGCTCTGTATCAAAAAAACAAAGCATCCAAACTTTTCTGTCCTTAAAAATGTATACACTCTCCTTCGTTCATTTTCTTCAGTTTAGTTGGCGAATAAATTTGAACCCGTTTTAATTGAAAAAACGACGATTGTCGATTGTTATTCACCGATCCATGCTTAATTTGACGCTTTTCATATAGTGTCTATTATTTTCATCGTTCAATACCGTAAGAAGACCCAACATACACATCTATACATCCACTACATCTATACTAGCTTGTACTTTTTTTTATTTTTTTATAACAGTAATTTTGTATCGATAAAACAAAAAAAGAAAGTTACAAAAAGCGAGGGTATAGTATTTTTGACGCGCTCGTCCATATTCTTTTTCCTTTTCTTTCTCTACATTCTTGTGTGAGTGTGTACACTGATTCATTCAGTTTGTAGTAAAACATCAAATTTTGAAAAAAAAAGGAAAATGTTTACATCATATATTGTATGTGTATTAAATAGATGAACTCATAGTATCATATGATTTTGAATAGGCTAATGCTAATATATATATGTATACCTGTGTAATTGGAGTAAAAAGTTTCCGTTTTTGTTTTGTTGAACATCAAACGACACAAGTTTTTGTTCTTTTATGCAAATTAAAATTTTACTGAAGGTAAAAGACTCAATCTGTCAATACAAAGTTATAATTTAATAAAAAAAATCTATACATCTCCAGAGAGAAAGAGAGACAAACGATAGAAGAAAAGACTATGCGCGCGTGTATACGTGCACTTCGACGTCATACTGTTATATAAAACATGAAGATGGAAAACACTTGTTGTTAATCGATAAGATTTTTTGAAACCTGAATAGAAATCAAAATTAATAACACTTACAGAATAAATGCCCATATTGAATTGGATTTTTATCTGATGAACTAAACAAGGTCACTTCTATACCTTGTCGTACTGATTCGCCTGGTTCTTTCACTTTGTTGATCGATCGATGTTGTTCAAGACGTTGAATGTTTCTATATCTTATCAGTAGACAAAAAAAGGGTTCAGGATGTAGATGTCTTAAAGCTTAGTCTTGATGATGTTTAAATTTTTATCTATGTTGTTGTATATACTATTGTTTTTGTTTTTCATTTCTAGGTTATATTGATTTACCACAAGGAACGGTTAAAGACCCATTAACTGGCCGTCTATATACATTTTCTGAAGGTGTTTTCAAAGATATAATAACATTAGAAGGTGCTCGAACATTAAGTGATTTACAAGGATCAATAACATTAGAAACTTATATCACTTCTTACGTTATAACAACCGGAGGCGTTAACACTGGTTCAACCACACTTAGCATTAATCCAACAACAACAACAACAACAACAACAAATCAATTTTCGAATGACGATCAGCAATTAATATCACCTACAAGTGGTAAACGTGTTCGTTTCGTTTTACAACCGGCTCCCGATGTTGTCTACATAGACGATAGTGAAGATAAAACAACGTCAAAGCATTCCTCAATAATTATAACGGGTAGTGAAAACGTGTATTCAATACCATCTAAAAATACGTCTTCTGCCATAACCACAAAAATGGCTATGCATCGTTCACCATCACGTACAAGCGTATCATCTCCTTCAAATATGTCATTTGTTGATGCGGTCAATAAAAAATATCTAGATTTGTCAACTGGTCGTTTTTCTTTTCTTTCCTCTTCTTCTTCCTATTCTCCATCCATTGGTGATGGTAGTAATAGAACGAGTAATAGTGGTGGCGGCCTGAAACAAAAAAATTATCAAGAAAATGACTATAATTTTTCTTCTTCTTTTTCTCATTCTCCCCAACAAAAAAATATTCATTCGACGAATAATGTCGACAACGATTCATCACCATTCAGTGCCACGACTAATAGGGAACAACAACAACAACAACAAAAAAAAACAATAACATTGTCATTGAAACAAGCTATTGATCAACAAATATTAAATCCTTATTCAGCCTACATTGTCGATACATTAAAGCAAAAAAATTATAATTTGAATGATGCATATACTCGGGGACTAATAATGGCTGCTACAACGGATACATCTCACACACATGTTATTGATAGAAAAAATCAATCAAAACCATATGAATTAGGCGATGCACTCAAATTGGGAATATTAAAATTAGGGGATGCATCATTATCTCAATCATATAATATAATATCAAAAACAGAATCATTAATTATATCGAGTGTTTATGATCATAAATTAAAAACATTTATCGAACCAAACCAAGCTATAAAAACAAAAATATTGGATCCTTTTCACGGACTATATTATAATACCTCATCGAATGAAGCGATATCTATTGATGATGCCATGAATAAAGGATTTATTCTTGTTCAACCACAATCATCATCACCATTATCGACATCGCGACATCATGGTAATGATAAATATGTCATATCAACCAGTCTTATCAGAGAAACACGTTCTTATCATTTATTGGGTGAGTAAAGTTAGTTTTCTAACATACAGATGTACTAATATTTTTTTAATAAGGTTGTGAAATGATATGATTTAGAATAAGAACAATTAGTTTAATCTAACTGCCTAATTTTATCTTGTTTAACCAATGAAACAGTTATTTATCAAATCTTTTATTCTAAAAGACCAATTGCTTATTTCTGCACTTGTACCACCATGCGTACAGTTATTACTTATAATAATAGGATTTTAGATTATTAACTGTCTAAAATTTCTATCATGTCAGTGAAATAAGTATTTCAAATGTTTCTAATATTCTTCTTCTAGGTGTAATTGATCATGTTAATAAAAAAGAACTAACTGTACAAGAAGCAATTCGATGTGGTATACTCGATAAACAAGGTGGACAATATATAAATAAATTAACGGGTGAAATATTTTCAATAAGTGAAGCTATTTTACATGGTCACATTCGTGCACAACCATTACCCGTTGTTAATAATGATAATGTGGTAGTAGATGGTGTATCATCATCAGGTGGTACTCAATCAACATCGTCGTCACATAAACGTGGAACAGTAAAAGAAACAAAAACTTATACATTAAAAAGTGCTATACATCCAAGAACCAAAAATGAAATACCTATTCGACAAGCCATTGACGAAGGAATTATCGATCATGCTAACGGATGTTATGTTGATTCAGTTAAAAATGAAACATTACCAATTAGTATTGCCATTGAAAAAGGACTCATATTTACAGAATTAATCGATCAACATCCAAGAAAATTTGTTAAATCGTTGATTATTGAAGAAGTAAGATTAACTTTGTTTTCTTTTCGGAAAAAAAGTATTCATTGAATTTGTGCAAACTTTTGGTAAAGGATTGATCGATCACACACGATTATTTGGCTCTTTTTTAGGTAGTTGATGCATCGACAAACCGTCGTCTCGGTGTTAACGAAGCAATTCAATCTGGTTTATTAAATCCAACTGTAACAACATATTATCATCCAATAACAAAAAGACATTTAACAATATTAGAAGCATATGAACAAGAATTAATTATTGGTAAACTTCGCGATAATGTTCCATCAACATTTACAACGGGAAATGAACATCGTGAACAAGTATTTTATTTAATTACTGGTATTACTGATGTAAGAACACATCGTACTTACACGCTTCAAGAAGGTCAGTTATTTGACTAAAATTTTGTTTAATTATACTTGGAATTTGACTTTTTCTTTAAGGTATTCAACATAAACTATTTGATCATAAGAAAGGTGTTTACATTCATCCGTTAACTAATGAAGAAATAAATATTGGCGATGCTGTTAAAAAAGGTTTTATTCAAGTAAAAGCCGTCTCGTCTGAAATAGCATTTATGACTGATAGTACAGATAAATATCGTCGTTCTGCCTATATAAGTCAACAACCTTATACCGATTCATCTACTCACGATAGTCGTAGTAAAGTATCGATACGTATTGAATCGAATGCTCGTCCTCGTACACCATATGAAATAAACGAATATGAAACATTATTAGAGAGCGGTGGACGTAAAGAAAATGATGTTATTGAAATTGAGTCGCTTAATCGTGTTCCACGTCATCGTCGTACACATCATACAACACAAGAAGAAATTATTGAACAATATACAACCAATGTAATGGATAAACAAGTTGTTATCGATCGTACACAACGATCAAAATCTCGTGAAAGACCAAAACGTATTGAAGAAGTTGTTATAGATGAAACAGTACGGCGTGGAAAAGCCGTTGATATTAAAGATGATAAATATATGTCACATCGTGAAATTGTTATTGATAGTGATCGAAAAGTACCACAGGTACCAGTACGTCCTCCACCAAAAGATTATCTTGTTATTAACGGTTCAACTAGACACGATGAAAGAGAAGTAATAAACTTGATACCAACACCTCAACGACCAGCACCGCCAGTTCATCACGGAGAAGTTCATATTGAGGAACGTTATCGCGAGGACGTATCATCAAGAGACTTTATTGATATTCCTGATCATGTACCACATAAACCAGTAACAAATGGTAGGTGTATAAATAACGAATAATTCTGGACTATATTAGATGAACACTTTCTACTGTTTAATACTTTCTGAGACACTAATTATATGATCTCTAGTCGATATATCCACAGTACACGTGTGAAACAAAGTATTTTATCTATAAATTTTTATTATTTATAGGAAAAATATCAGTCGAAAAGCGAACAGATGAATGGTTAACATCCATCGAAAATTATGATGAAAATCAATCTTGGTCAGAAGATGAATGGGAACAATGGCATTGTGTAATAATGGTAGAAGGACAAGCCTATCGTATTGTTTGGGTTATGAATACACTAACAGGCGATCGTTTACCATTACATAAAGCTTTTCAACGTGGACTTGTCGATACTAAGGAACGTTTATTTTTTGATCAAAAATTAGGAAAATCTTATACATTTGAACAGGCTGTTGAATTAGGTCAGTATAAATTATATATTATGTAGAATGTCACTTATTTGTGTACGAACTTTTTTAGGTTATATGGGTATTGAACCCGATACAGCTTCGTTACCATTAAAAGTTGATACAATTGATTATATGATTCACTGGGTATTAGAACCATCTACTAAACGACGAATATTTCCACGTCAAGCAGTTAAAAAACATATATTAGATGTGAAAAATTTAAGATATGTAAATCCGTATAATAATTCAAATGTGTCTATTCATGAAGCTATCCATCTAAAGTTTATTGGTGCAACAGAATATGGTTCACAAACAGATTCTATCACTATAAATATAAAAGGTCAAACGTATGTAATTAAATGGGTCTATGATACACGAAATATGAAAAAATGTTTACCACGTGAAGCATTAAAATTAGGCTTATTAGATATACACTTGAATCAATATCGAAAATTTGATACAAACGATGTAATGACAATTTTGGATGCTATTCAAGCTGGTTATATTAAATGTACGGATGATGATTCGAGTTCAGAAGGATCAATTAAACCACCATCAATTATTTCAGTCGATGAAGACGAACTAACAATAGCAACAAAAACGGCTACATATGTTATTACAAGTGTTATACATCCAGTGACACAAAAAGAAATTAAAGTTTCAGAAGCAATCGATTTGGGAATATTAGATAAAGAAACAGGTATGTAGAAAATTTAATGTTTCATCTAGATTTAAGAGTTATTGAACAAAACTTCTCCATATATGTTCGAAAATTTTCATTGAAAATATAAGTTTAATATGACTTTCAAACTTTGGTTGTTGTTTTTATTATATTTCTACGCTCGATCTCATTTCTGGTTGCACAGACACAGCAAGAAGTATCTTATTGCTTTTTTTTTTCGTTTCTGATGTGGGTAGAAAAATAAAACGGAAAATGTTTTTTTGTAGAGTAACACTTGAAACATACTACCTCATACACATATATACAGTTAGAAAAAAAAGGAAATATTAATCTTTCAACCTTTTTTGCATATGGGAGAATAGAACTGCTAGAAAACGAGGCAATTTCGTCCACTATTATTGAAATAGTAGTCACATAGCATGAGAACTCTTTCTTCAAATATCAATAAACAGAATTGTTAATGATTTTATGTGCTGGGTATTTTTCTCTTCTTATCCTGGAGTGAGAAAACGATATAATGTTTTTATTTACGGTCTACTCTTTTGTCTTCGCAATAATTATGATCAGAATTAAGCCTATTGCCTCTAAATAATAATAATGATGATCAGGTCTTCTTATCAGTCTTTACAAATAAAAAATATAAAATAACTGTAAGATTTGTACACATATGTTAACATCGAGGCGAGATCAGATGGCATTGATAGAAGCAACTGACTATATTTTAAGATTACCCAACGTCAATAGTTAAAGGGTCAAATTTTCTGTTTATACACACAATAATCATTAATTTTTTATTTCAAAAAATCGAAGCTTGCAATTACGATTTGTACTCACCAGCGATTACAGATCGCAATCGAAAGTTTCGTTTTTTTTAAATAAAAATTTAATGATTATTGTGTGCATACGATTGTTATTATCTTTACTGAATCATATTACAAAAAACAATATTGGTATTCTTCGAAACAATAGTTGTATATAATCATTACGTGGGAATTTAATTTCGTATTTTTGTTGTTGTGAAAGTTTTCTGATGGTGTTCGAAAATAGGGCCACTTACAACTTATAGCGGGCAAAATAAGAGGTATTTGAGCAAATCAGTATGAAACACCTTGAATATTTTGTGGTGCGTGTGTTGTGTAGATAAGGACACAGTTCGTGTTGTTCATATTCTCTGTCGCATGTCTGTCATGTACTGAATATGATTATATACGGACAAATATCAAAGATTTTTATCTCATCTATACCGTTGTAACTACAGATTACAGGCTAATTGCTGAGTCTGATGACAGTCTAGTGGATACCCATACGTATATGACGATTATGTTGTACACTTAAACATGCAATGGCAATAATGAACTTTTTATTGAAGCATGTTTATCTACATAAAATGTGTGGTGTATATTAATTAAATATGTAGTTTAACTTAATTTTTTATTTTAGGTAGTTATCGTGATTTAAGTACAAATGTAACATACGAATTAGCTGAAGCCATTAATGAAGGTCTTGTTTATGCTACTATAATTGAAACAAAAGAAGATACAGAAATGATGACATCGTCTCTACAAGAAATTGTTAAAAAATTTATTGTTATAAGTGTAGCAGTTGATAGTGAATCTACGGAGAAAATTGGTGGTTTAGAAGCACAAGCTGTAGGAATATTGAATTATGCTCAAGGTGTTTATCATGATAGAAAATATGGAATTAAAATTCCATTAGGTAAGATATTGTTTATATTCAAAATTAGATAATAAATATTTAATTATTATTTTGTTTTTAGATAAAGCAATTGAAAAGAAATTACTTGATGTTCAATTAGTTAGTCAGAAAAAATTTGAAGAATATGATTTAGAATTAATAACGGATACCATAACGGAAAAACGTGTAACATTATATAAAATACATGGTGTAAGAAATAATGTACTAGATCGAATGGAATCAGGAGCAGTGGCAGTGAAGGGACAAATGATCGATACAGAAGCAAAAACTTACACAGATTTTTCAACAGGCGAAACAATGTCAATACAAGAAGCAGTTAATAGAAATTTAATACAAGCAGAAATAAGTGAACATGTTGAAAGAAAACCACTTGGTTTGTCGATGCAAAATGCTATACGTCTAGGTTTTTATACAGCTGAAACAGGTTTGTTTTGAAAAATAAAGACAAAATTAATGTAAAAATACACTAACTCATTTTTTATTCTATTGTTTAGGCACATTCCGTGATCCGGCCACTGAACAATATTTGACGTTAAATGAAGCCATTGATCATGGACATATTCATCCAACTGGTGTTGCTTTCTGTGATAGTGAACGTGGTCCAATTAGTTTGTACGAAGCGATGAGTTTGGGTTTGATTAATCGTCGTGATGGAGGCAAACTGAATATGGCTAAAATAAAACTGTTTAGTGCTAAATTAGTTGAATCAAAATTACACCGTATGAATGTTGAAGATGCTATACGATGTGGACTATTAAATTTACGTACCGGCTTATATAAACATCCACATAGTGGTGAACAATTAAGTTTGAAAGAAGCGATACAGCGAGGTTTAATTGATGGACAATCAACGGTTATCGAACATCCATCAAATGGACAATATATGACATTGAAACAAGCATTAGAAGGAATAAGAATTGATCAAGAGGGTCAAGTAATTGACTTATATACACAAAAAATAATAACAACATTAGAATTAGCATTTAATCATCGAAAATTATTTTCAATGTTTGATGTGAATGCAGGTGAAATATTTATACCATCTCAAAATGAATCAGTTGGCTTTGAAAAAGCAATAAGAAAAAATTTATTAGATAATAAAATAAAATTATTTGATCCCAAAACAAGTAAAGAATATACGATACAAGATGCGATTGAACGAGGACTAATCGATCATGAAAGTGGATTGTTCTATGATCCACGTACAAGACAACAGTATTCTATACGTGAAGCAATTCGTCATGGTTTGATAGCAGTTGTTGGTGCGCCTTTAGTACCAATTAAAGCCGATCATGAAACAGTAGCTGCAAAAATAACATCGAGAAAACATCGTCGACATTCATTAGCTAAAAGTTCATTACATTATGATTATAACAGTGCACCAGATTCAGCCGATGAAGATTCATTATCAGGTGGACATGGATGGCATAAAGTAAAAGCAACAAGACATCATAGTGGCCAAGATGATAGTCTATCGAGTAGCGGAAGAAGACGAACAGGATCGTCACCGGGTGCTGCCGAACGAGCAAGAATAACAAAATTTTCTAAGACATGTCGAGATGATGATTGGACAACACCAAAACGTTTTGATAGAGACGATGATGATGATGACGATCATTTTACACGAAGACATTTTCATAGTGGTGGTGGCGGAGATAATACGTTTTTCTCAAGTACTAGTAGAACACAAAATAATGGTGGTACAACAACTACACAACAAAGACGAAATTTCAGTGGACAACAGCAACATTTGGCAAAAACGCCAATTTCAATTGAAAAAAATACAGATGGTTGGTGTCTTTACTTTGTTGCGTAAAAGTCAAAATTTTCGTTACTCGAAGCGTACCGAGCCTTTGATATGACCGATCGAGAATTAGAATACGATGTAGAAAAATATTTTTCTTGACAATTCGCGTCTTTACTAATTTCAAGGATTTTTAGACCTCTACTCTCGATTAAATCATCACGCCTTTGGATCTCGATGTTGCAATTTTTGTCATATATGTTTCTTTTTATATTTTAGAACTAACTCATTTAACCAACAATCACACAGTAGAAATGGTAAGAGATTAAATAGCGTTTTGTTTCTAGAAATCATTAGCAAATTGTGTGTGTGTGTGTGCGTGCATGATCCCAAATTCTATCTGTTTTGATCCCAAATGCAGATTTGTTGTGGAAAAAACGCAATAGAGTAAATTATTAGTATAACTGATTGCTGCTGTTTTGTTTGTCAAACAACGTAGTAATTTTTTTTTTAAATGGCAATTGCTGATACAATCAATACTAACAACAAATAATATTAGATCCTCACATATATTCATCACCGGTTCCATTTGAATACACATCAAAGAGTTTGATCTGTTTTTTTTTCTTCTTTGTCTTCCTTTCTTCTATTTTATGCTTGTGTGACAATTTATTATTTTTTTTTGTGATTTTTCACACTACCAACATGTAATTCAACATTTACATTTTGTGTTTGTGTCTAAAAGTTGTGTCACAAATAGTACTAATTTTGCGTGAGATATTCTCAACAAAAAATATGCGTGGAAACAAATTGGTTGTTTCGTATTATGAAGATATTCATCGTTATTTTGTTAATTTCAATTAATTTCGTCACAAAATGGTTATTCATTTACCGAGTATTCTATGTGTTGGATATCAATCATTATAAAAAATAAAATGACGGATTATTTTATTTAAAAAAAGGTGTATTAAGCTTTGATATTTTTTTATTTTCAGCTTTGATATGGGGATATCTGTGTTGTATTTCATTTGACAAATGCTAGGTTTCTTTTTATACATTTTTATTCATCAAAAATCTCGATTTTCTCTTGACAGTAAAACGATATAACTCAGAATTGAGTGTATATCAAATACATATTTATATTTAATTTTAATTTTAAAACAAAAAGTACTGAAAATTTAAAAAAAGTTCTCCCATCATAATTGAGCTATAATCGTAAGTTTTGACTAATATATCTAACACAAAATATGACTCTCTTTTTTTCTAACTTGCTTGTTTGTCTTTTATCTGCTTTAATAAAATGCCTTTGTTTGTCTACAACTCTTTTACTCTCTGGTTATGGTTATATTTAGAAAACATAATTTAACTACGTTTTTCTTTTGTTACCTAAGTTTCACCACCTTTTCTTCTTTTGCTTGACAAAAAAAAAAAAGAATAAACAAGACCTTCTCTTGATATTTTCAATTTCATTGTCATTTTTTATTGCTTTGTTTTGCTATTGAAAAAGTTGTTTATTGGTGTTTTATATCGTTCTGTAGGCTGTAATCAAATTCTCATAATTAAATGCATCATCAATAATCTTTGTTGGTGTGCGACATAACTTTTATACAGGAGATTTTTGTCATTGTTTTGATGATAAAATTAATATTAATGAGCGAAAAAAAAGAAAATTCGAGATGTTCAGACGATTGCTTGTTCAGTAGGCTATGACAGAGTTTTAATAATCAGCTTCACTTACTTTTTGCTCTGCTTTGAGAATAAAATAAAATGAAAATTTTCCAATAGTAATAATTGTCATAAAATATTTTGATCTAATTTGATGATGTTCCCTCCTAGTAGGGAAAATGAAAATTACTACAAATTTGAAATTAATTTTATTATATTACTGCAAATGCATGTTTGTGAATAATTTGATTGTTGGTCAGCATGGTGTGCAAGTTTTGTTTAGTTATATTATACTCTACTCTTAATTTTTTCTTCTATTGAAAAAACTGATCGTATAATATACTTTGCATGGTTTTCTTGGATGCTTTGAAAAAGCCATTTTTACATATGAGAGGGATATATCTTCTATATGCATGCATATCGTTCTAAACATTATTAATATTCGATTGTTTTTTCATTTTAGGTGAGTATGGTTCACTGTTATCATGATCACATGTTGTCACTATTATTTCAATATCCTGCTGCCATATCTTTTATTTTAAATAATTTTAATAACACTTGTACTTTATTACCATTTTCTTCTTGTTCTATTTTTTCTTCTTCATCGTCTATTGACAGTTTATCTTTATTATTGTTATTATTCAATATATTTTCGTTATTACCATTATTGTCCATCAAAGTTCAAATATTACAACAACTGTTTCTATTATCATTATCATCATCAGCGCAGCTAGTTTCTCCTATTTTCGTATGAATCTCTCTCTCTGTCTCTCTCTTTGTCACTTGTTTTTCTTGTACGAAATTCTCATTTTTTTTACAACACTAAACTTTGTTCGTCTCTCTCTCCCTGTCGTCCGTGTAAATCAAATACAAATGCGTGTTTTTTCTACTTACTTTCTATTTTTTGCTCTCATTCTCACCTGAAACTGTAGGAAGTTTTGTTTTTTTTAAAATTTTTTTTCTTATTCTTGTTTCTTCTATTGTTTTCTCGTCCTTAATAATCAAATTGTGCAAAAAATCAAAACTGAACTTTTCTGTGAAAGTTAACCTTTATTTAGTCTTGCTATATTTAGTTTCAAAATGCAAATATGAACGATATTTTTCTCAGGCAAAACTTCATTCAATCGACAAATTCATTTCAGATTTAATTTATCCGTTATTTTCCTCTTTCTGGTTGGTTTTGTTTTTGCGTTTGTTAGTATTAGATCAAAAAAAACGACCCAATGTATAACCAGTTTTGCCATGGTGTTATCTCTATTTTTTTGTTCTTATGTGAATGTATAGTAGAAAAGAACGATCTGAAAACTTAAGTGACAATGAAACATTTGTTGTTTTGTATGTTGTTTTACTTTTCTTATTTTTTTTTGTTTTTGTTACTTCGCTTTTATCTTCATTTTCTCCTCTTGCGATTTTTTTTCTAGCGTTATATACACTTTTTAGTATACAATAAGACAATACTAACTGAAGATGTTCTTCAAAAAAAAGCTTTTTGTTGTAATATTAATAATATAATAATACATAATGATGATAATGAACAGATTCAGATGTTGACTTTTAAAAGAAAAGAACAATAAATTTCTTTTGCATAGTCTTTTAAGGTGTTTAATGGAATCGGTGGGAAATAGCCAGTTCGTACTTAACAGGAGGAATCACTCTTTCATGCACATAGTACATCAACTAACCAATATTGCTTCTAGTTTTTAAATAGATTTTGAAGGGAAACTGTAATATAGTTTTATCCATTTTTTTCCTGTAATATTGTTGTGATTTATCATTTTGTTTCTTCAGAGTGCTCTACTTTATTTGTATGAAGCTAGTCATATTCGAGACAGTGACAGTTTGAAGATTTAATTAGACATTAAAAAATGTTTGATTGAATGTTGACGAGATTATTTTTTTGTGATTGAGAAAGATTAAAATAATTCGAAAGTATAGCTATCATCTCACTATAAATGTTATAGACTACCATAACTGACTTCTCTGGTCGAGAATCTCAAAAAAATGCCACAGGATTTCACATTTTTACGGTTTTATGAGATTTCACTCGGAAATGTCAACTGTTGTTCTGTTCTCGATTACGATGTGCTATTTGCGTATCATAAGCAGATGCTTTTTAGCTAGATGGCTAGATGTATCATATTTTGCATAAAATCACTATACCATCAGGGTGTCCCCCAAAAAACTTACCTCTTTTTGTATATGGTCTTTCTATAGCCTTCAATTTTTGTTCCGATTCTTTTTGCGATAGAAAGAGCTGAAAAAAAGTTACTCAGTAGAACTGTTTATATTTTTGAAAAGATTCCACCATAAGCAGAGATTAAAAAAGGTTTATTAAATATGAAATCTATGCTGGAACGGCACATCTTCACCAGGAAATAAAAAAGGAGCTGTAAGATAACCGCTGTTGACTTGAAGTTTATTGTGATTTTCGAGTTCCCAGTATTTTGTTAATGAAAAAAAGAATTTCGCATAATTCTTGGTTATTTTTTAAAGATTTTTTTTATTTTCACACGATCTATCTACTGAATATAACCGATCGTGATTAAAGCTAGTTCAAGTGGTAAAATAGCGAAATTCATACCTCACACCTCTTTACAAGGTGGGCCATAAAAACTTATTCCCTCTGTATTTTTTGGGTTTCTTGTGTACAGATATAATTGAACTTTTTATTATTAGTTTAGTCGAGTAGAGCAAAGATTTCCGGACAAAATGAGACGTCTACGAGCTTTTCTCATGAAACAGCATTCAATTTATTGAACACTAAGACCGCTTTTTTCCAGTTTGTCCGTTAATTGTCCTGATTTTGGTGGTATGGGACCTTCAATAAATTGAATGCTGTTTTATGGGAAAAACTCTTAGAGAGCTCGCAGGCGTCTCATTTCGTCCAGAAATCTTTGCTCTACTCGACTACTTTTAGGCTTAAAAAAAATGTGAACAATACATCCTTATTCGTTGATTAGATTTTCATGTCAACAACAAAATGAAACTTCATTATTGCTTGAACAATAATTATCGACTTTAGAATGATAACAGATTTAGCTTTTCACTATCCGCTACGTTTAAAAGAGAGTCTAAGATTACTTAATTCTGTGAAAAACGATCAATCATTTCTATTGTAAAATTTGAACATATTTTTAATGGGAAAATTAGAAAGAAATATGTGGCTTATAATAGATCATTCTCGACCAATCTTTAAAATTCTAGAAAACCTGAGAATAGAGCAGTATGAGAGAAAGAAGAGAAAATTGAGTATAAAACTGCTACAGAAAATATAACGAGATTTTTATATAAAAACTAATTTATTGTTAATTAATTTTCGAGCTTTCGACGTGTATCTGACATCATCAGCAGGAAAATGACATGAATTTGAAAAATTAATAATATATATGCGAGCAACTACAGCGTCACGAACGTGATGTTCGCACACCCTTGTGCCACTATAGACCTTTAACTAAAACAGACGAAGGTCTCTATTGCCATCACATATTGGTACCTAATTACTGAATATACCGTGAAAAAATTGAAAATTATGAATACTTGTTAAGGGTACTTTTCATATGAGAGACTACGCCGTCACCGATGTGCCAAAAAAAGACAAGCTTTTCCGGTCATTACTAGCCTTAAAAGTCCCGTCCGTGACGCTGGAGTTGCCCATATACATATTGTTAATGTGATTAGAGAAAAATAGTAGAGAAACGAAAGAATGAACATCACTTTGCTTGAACACTAGAAGAATGAATATCATCTTTATTTGAACAGATGTAGGAATGCACCGGTTAAAAACCGATAATTTTAGCTTTTTTTGGACATAGATTGTATGAAGAGTATGGTATATTAAATTTTTCGTACAACTGAGTTTTGCAGAGCAAACATTTCTCTATAAATGAGCTATGGAGAATCTTTCCATCTTTTCTCGTTTCCTTGCAATCGCCTTTCTACGAAGAGTCCCATTTATCGGTTTCGGTTAAACTGATAAATGGAGCTTTTATTAACTATCGTTTTTATAAGTGCTGGATCGAAATGAAGATTACTCCTATAGTTCGTTTTCTAGAGAAATGTTTGCTGTACAAAACTCGGCTGTGAAAAAAATTTAATATGCCATACTCTTCGTACAATTCAGTTTTTGCGAAAAGAGGATAAAAAACTCGGTTTTTAACCGGTGCATACCTAAACAGAAGAGACAAGGAATAAGAATGTCATATTCAACATCATATGATCGATCGCATCTCCTCGTTGATGATTCTTGATTTTATTCGCAAAATATTCGTGAATTTTGTTCTAAAAGATATTTTTACTGACGAGTGTTCTGTCTGTAAAGACAGGAGATTTGACTGATTTGATAAAATTATAACTGTAGCTGGTTTCGATCTTCTAAAATACAAGAAATTTTTCCGTTTCATATCCGAAAGTTTCGATTCAACAGAGGAGGGAGAATTCTCCTTTCTCTCTTTTTCAAAAGTTACTCAGAAAGCTGCGATACATTTTAAAACTTTGTTCATCTGATTAACTATGATGGAGATGGATTTCATGTGCAAGTCAGTTTGTTTGTCTCTTTATTAAAAAAGCGAAACTTATAAATGTTTTCCTTTAATTTCCTCTCATATTAGAGGACTATACTGCGATAAAAGATCGTTCCCAAATAGAAGATCAGCCTGGATATTGTTTACCTAGAGTATCCTTCATGATTTATTACGAATAGTCGATTTAAGTTGGCGGACAAAATTAAAAATGAGACAGTTTTATATTTCGGAAAGGAGTGTAGCAATCTTTCATTGGATAACAGGTACAATGGTCGACAAGTTTCTTTGCTTCTATTTCAATTTCAATCAGTTTCTGCTTGTCTGAACAGTTTTTGTGATTAATTGTTGATTTTTTGTATAATCACTCTTATGTTTTCTATTATACATTATATTTATTTTACATAGTTTTTCAAGCTTCTGTTAATTCTGATGTAATTTAATCTATTTTTTTTGTATCAAATGACACTATCAATGTTTAGTGTAAACTGTTAATTTTCTAAGTTAATAATCTTGACAGAATTGCTTAGAATGTCTCGTAATAGAGGAGATGATAGTTTGCAAATGATTTTTCGAAACACTTTAGCAATAGCTGCATGCATTAGAGCTTATTCAAGGCATTTGTTTTGCATGAATATAATTGATAACATTATTTTTTATTGATTGCATGTATTTGTGCGTGCGATTAGACATAATTTTGCTATGGCATGTAAAATATCATAAAAAATCTCTCTTATTTTCAAACTCATTCAAAACATATACGATACGATGATTCAATATTAGCATCTTTCGTTGTTCTTTTAGGTAAATGAACCTGCCAACAGTGACCTTGACTTGTCTTCACAAATACTACCTAAACAAATTTCTAATGTAAACAATCAAAAACAACAGGATGTAACTTTAATTCAATCAAAGGAGAATCAGATAGTGCCGTCAGTGTCGTCTGATGATGTTGATGCTAGTTATAAATCACTGACTGAACCAAGTAAAATTACAGTTATTGAAGAACCAAAACAACCGGAACAACAATCAAAACCTGATCGAAGACGATCTTCAAAGGAAACAAAAAAAGCTTCGGTAACAATAACTGATCATTTGGATAAACAAGGAGAATCAACAGGAATATCATCAAGTGAAGATGAAAGTAAACATGAAAATTCAGCAGAACAAGACGATGTATTGAAACATGAGGTTATTGTTGAAAATAAATCAGAGCAAGAAGTCTTATCGTCCTCGTTACTACCATCAAATCAACAATCGACAACAATGTCCGTAGAACCAGAGACACCAGTTTTTAGTGCTGTAGAAGATGAAGAAAAATGGGACAAAATCATTGATAATGTTCAATGGAGCGCTCATACACCATCAGTATCTACCAATTTTAAGCGTACATCATCGGAGAGACAATCGCTTAATGGTCCAACATTTCAAAACGAGCAGGTAAATTCGAAATTTTTTTCTTCATGAAATGCGTATCTTTGAATACAAACAACTTTGAATGATTTCTAGAACGTTGGTGATCAGTTAATTAATCAACTTTGCTTGAATTTTGCATAAAGACTTTTGGATGCTTTTTATTGCGTTTTATTTTCTCGTTAGATATTTTATATAGATATTTTTAGGGGCTCAGAGGAAATTTTAATATAGAATTGAACAGTATTACTCTTGCTAAACTATTACATAAAGTAATTTCCGATATTTATTGTTAAAATAAATTGTAGCCTAAAGATGCTCTCAATTTGGTTACTGATTTGTCATTGTTTGAAAAACAAAATACATGTACAATATTGATTTCTTCTCAATCGTTTCACCAACACTCTTATCAAATAGAAACTTTTCTCGATAAAGTAGAACACACGACATTTGTTCAAAAATAATTATCAAAATGGTGGAAAGTAAAAATAAATGTATCATTTGGATAGTTCTTTGAATAAATTGTTCATAATAAGAAAAATAAAAAAAATTGTTTACTCTAAGTTTTGATGAGTTAAATATGCATATTATTAATCATGAATTTTGTATAAATTAACCAAGAAATACAGTCACAAGCCACGAGCAACATTTCTAGAATTAGATGAGATGATGAATTTCTTTGATTTGAATAAAAGTTATGCAATTGATAATGATAATTTTATTCGAAAAAGCATGATTATCTTGGATTTACATTAAATCAAGCAATTGATTATGAAATAATACGTTTAAAATATGACACAATAACAAGAGGTGAATCATTCAGCATATCAAAAACTTCATTTTATTTGATTAGGAGATAATTAAATAGATTTAAACATTCAACAATTTCCTTTCGCATTCAAGAGGTATTACTAGCATTGATGCCCTCATCCAATATTCGATAGTTACTATTTTCATTTATTGTTTACACAAATAGAAGAATTGTTCACAATATATGTATTCAAAAACTCTTTTTTTATGTTGTTCTATTGATATTTTCGAAATCACTAACCTAATAATTCAAATATACCCTGTTGTTGTACACTATTATAAAATTCTTTTAACAATTTCTAAAAATGCTGCTTGTCTGCGTTAATTTGAGGCCGTCATTTTGTATTTTACATTTGCTGAGTTACTAATTGTTGCTCATTTTGTTGCTTGATATTTACAACGTCTGTTAGATAAAATAATTGTTCCTAGATGGTTCTATAATGCTCGTATGTATATGGGCATGTTTTCGGATATACATGAAAATTTTCAATAAGAAAATCAAATTATAACTTGTTAAGCCTTTGTAGTTATTCATACTTAAATTATTTTGATATTCATATTCATATAGCATATCAATTTTATTTTTTTTATTATCAGACACTTGTTTTCATAATTGTAATTGAACTCTTGTTACATTGGCAAAATGAAGTGAGAAAAGACAAATAAAACACGGTCAATTGTTATATGTCTCGGATGACAAAAAATATTCAAACAACCAATTAATTGTTCGTTTGTTGTTATTAGCCACCGTAGACAATGTGTACTTTGTAATAATCTACTGTTTTTCGCTGTTTTTTTAATAATAAACCTACTGCATGTGGTGTTTTTTTAATGAATTTATCTCTTGTACGTATTTTTCTTTTCTTTTTACGATCATATCCTATACGTACACTCAATCATCTGTATATTGAACAATTAAAATCGACAAAAAAAAATAAAAAATACTACACACACTATCAAATTTTTATTTCTATTTTAAGGTTGATGATATTGCTAGTGGAATGAAAAATGCCATACAACGTTTAAACTCGGTTCAACTTGACAAATATGCTTATATTAATGAAAATATAAGTGAATTACAAACAAATATCGAACTTGTCAAAGTATGTGTTAAGAGTTGACGGTTAGTCTTGTTTTATAATAAAAAATTATCTGTATATTTGTTAGGCATTACGAGACGATATTCAGCAAGAAAAATCGTTAATTAATTCATTGTTAACTCGTTCAAATCATGGCTATTCGACAAGTAATGATCAAGATAGTGATGATGTTGAATTACTAGCGAATGATTTAAAAGAAAAATGGGAAAACGTAGGCATTTCTATATCTATCTTTCTGCTTCTAATAACTATTACTGATTTGTTCTTTAGGTGCGTACAACAAGTGTTAATCTTGTTGAACGTTTAGATGATTATTGTTTAAAAATGAATCAATTTATCGACGAACATGATCGTTTAAACGATTGGTTGACTAATGCTGAAAGAGAACTAACTGATGTTCAAACTAATTCTAATCTAGAGAATATAAATGAAATACTAGAAAAATTAAAGGTTTGTTATTATCATAAAAAATTTTAGTCCTATGATTTAGTATTGTGGGTTTTTTATGTTGTAGAAGACATTAGAAACGGGCGTTGGCGCTCAAGTTGATATAAGATTTTTACAAGAAAATTTACAATTATTACATTCAACAATGAAAGATTTTGATCAGTTTAGTCGACAACTATCAATTAATTCTAATGAAAATGATAATAATAATGGCGAGAATTTGTTAATTACAAAAGAAGAAAGAGTTAATGGTAGTCGACTCTTGTTCAGTACGCAACAACAAAAACTTGAACAATTAGCATTTAAGTAAGAAAGAAGACAATTATTATCAATCTTTTTCTCTTTATGTACATATACTGTATAAATGGCTTGAAAAATTTCATAAAAAAAGTTGATAATTTTATATAATCGACCATCTGATATCACTTAATACATAATTGATCGTGCACACACAATTAACTCATAGTATTCAAATAAATGTAAGATTGATTTTTTTCAAAATTTTGTCTAATTTTATTTTAGTTATACCGATTATCTAAAACGATGTAAACATTTGTATGAACAAACTTTACGTCAACAAACATATTTGAATAATTTTAATGGAGTTAATTATGACTTGAGCCTACTGTTAAATGATTTTGAACAAAAATTCAACGTTGATCAGCAACATGCAACTGAACAAGTATGTAATACTAAACACAGTGGGCATTTAGGCGGCGTTTTCTGAAAAAATCGTAGGTGCGAATTTTTTTGTTTTGAATAGTGGTGTATATAGTATAAACAATTCCCTATTTAATGATAAAAATTTTTTTGTTCTAGCTCCTTCCAAAGCTGAGAAAACTGAATTACAAAATTACCATTAGAATTAGCCCGTTGGTACTTAAAATTGCATTTTCTCCATCAAAGGCTAAATTTTTTCGAACAAAAATCACAT